ACAGTACAGATTACATAAAACCCTAAAACCCTTGTACAAACCCTCATAAACCTTTCACTTTATCATCTAAATGAATTAAACAGTGTCCCGTTGGCTCAATCCTTCAGTTAAAATATTAATGATTCCAAAGATTGCAATATCATCAATCACCTGATACGGTGGAAGAAGAGTCTTGGGCTGAAGGTTAGACCACTAATAATGTTGGTGACACTTTATTTGTACAAACTTTTTTTTATGGAAATAAGGGGTAAAGCAACATCCTTGCAACATGCATCAACATAAAATATAAGTAATTAGAAATGTGACTATGAAAAATGTGAGAAAGACATACCGATAATTTTTTTCATCAAAAAGCAGAAATTCCAAAATCAGAATTGATACACACTTTTATTAATAACAACTGAAAAGAAATTACCGACTGTAAACATCCATTAAAACAGCAACAAAAAGTATGAAACATTGTATATACATTTACAAATGAAACTGACAAAGAAGACATAACACACAAAATACACCAATCTAAATCTGAAGAATTAGAACCAAAAGAATGATTTCAAAAGTAGTCTATATTAAATTCTTTTGCAATGATAAAGTATATTCCTGTAAGATTCTATAACAATCCATGTATTAATACTTTTAGCAATCTCTTAAATAGCCAAAATGACTGTATACACAGAAATGTAGCTAAGTATGTGAAGGAAGCTCTATTACTACAAACACCTAATATTGTACCCTTAAAAGCTTAGTATTGTTTTCAATGTCAATTGCCTCAATTGTGTGTTACTATATATAACTGAAATGTACATGGGCCTATGGCCTCCCATTCATGAATAAACATTATATATATATATATATATATATATATATATATATATATATATATATATATATATATATATATATATATATTCAACAAAAATCTGTGTTATAGTTTTCAAGTTATAGGTTGGACCTTTTAGGCCGGGTTATAATAAAAGGAGATCACAAAGAACTCTTTTCCTTCTAAATTTAGTGAGTGCTAATTTCTCAACCTGGAAAGGATGAATACGGTAATTACACTACAGATTACACAATTGTTAAGGCCAATAGGCCTGCACTTCACTTGTACAAACCCTCACAAACCTTTCACTTTATCATCTAAACGAATTAAGCAGTGTACAATTGCTTGAATCCTTCAGTTAAAATATTAATGATTCAAAATATTGCAATATCATCAGTCACCTGATATGGTGGAAAAAGAGTCCTCGGCAGAAAGTTAGACCACTAATAATGTTGGTGACACTTTATTTGTACAAACTTTTTTTATGGAAATAAGGGGTAAAGCAACGTCCTTGCAACATGTATTAACATTTCATTCATAAACATAAAATATAAGTAATTAGATATGTGACTATGAAAAATGTGAGAAAGACATACCGATTAGTTTTATCATCAAAAAGCAGAAATTCCACAATCAGAATTGATACACACTTTGATTAATAACAACTGAAAAGAAATTACCGACTGTAAACATCCCTTAAAACAGCTGCAAAAAGTATGAAACATTGCATATACATTTACAAGTGGAACTGACAAAGAAGACATACACACAAAATACACCAATCAAAATCTGAAGAATTAGAACCAAAAGAATGATTTCAAAACTAATCTATATTAAATTCTTTTGCAATGATAAAATAAATATGGATGTATTGAAATATAATAGAAATAATACAGAATACAATCTCCAATGAACAGAGGAGAAATCACATGGATCTAAATGGGTGAGTGAGTGAGTTGGGTTTTAACACAGCTTTTAACAGTATTCCAGTTACATCGCGGCGTGTCAGCTTAATGTGGGAGGAAAGCCTGAAGTGATGCAGGTCTCAGACGGTTACCACTTCGGTGAAACCCAGGGGCACGGGTATGAGGCTGAAAAACCTAGAAACATAATCAGGGCGAACCTGGATTCGAACACCACAATCATAGGTTTCTCGTGTGCCCAAGGGAAGCAACCCTGCCCAGCGAATCGCGGCGCCTCAGACGACTGGGGCACCCGTGCCCCCCACACGAACATAAACCAAACACACACGTTGAAGACAACAGTACATATGGCATCCTATATCACTTCCAGATAAAACAAAGATAAAATAAGAAAAATAATCAAAACACAAAATAAACCATCAATGCTACATTTAACCGATTTCGAGAATACATTTCATTACAAGTCCAGAAATGTTTTTGAAGTGAGCTATATATGAAATGAAGTCTTCATAAAATATCTTTGAATGATAAATAAGGTCAACACGTCATGTCAGAAGGCAGATCAGTGATGACTCACATTTTGACTATTCTAAAACTATTACTCAGGCCTGGCTTTGCTGACACTTACACTACGAATGTTGACACTGGTTCTGCACAGTTAGAGCACTGATATGTCTACAAGATATTGCAAAGCAATGCACATATAGAAGACTACAGACACGTTGTCATTATATGTATACCATATGTATACACATTTAGAATAACCGAATAAAAATAATCTTGTTTGAAGCAATACACATAATATCACATGAAAGTTAATTTCAAATCGTTTCAAGTATATTTACATAAGCAATTTGTTACAAGAAAGAAAGAGTTTGGAAATCAGCCACACATAAAATGAGCCCTGATAAAATATCTTAAAATCAGTGATTACTCATGAAGACACAATGATAGCAGGAAAACAGTGATAACTCTGATTTTGACTTTTCCAAAAGTAAACCTATTCAGGTCTGGTCTTTTTCTATACTATCATGTGGTCATTTCATATCTTTTCCAGTACCATAAATGTTAAACTGGTCAACGAACAACGGCAGTTATAATAACATAGCTGCCTGTCTTCAAACACCCTATCTTTGCCGATAATACTCGTATATAATTCATTCTAATACAAATGAGGACATTGTTAAATACTGATATGTCTACAGGAATCAAATGTTCACTCAAAAAGAACAAAAGTCGCAAAATACTTTCTCCCAACTAACCACCATGGTCTGCCTGTAATTTCGGAAGTCAGGTGCATGTTGGGGGCACCTGCTTCCTGTACACTCTAAAACTGCACTCGCTGAAGTGTTCTGTGTGGGTATGTCATAGTCAGACGGAATTGTTATCATATATTTTCTTAGCTAGTAAATGGTAAATACTTCTACAGTCGTACATGTATTCGGAGTTGCTAACATTGGTACCTTATTTAAAAACGTTGATTAAACTATGTCAGAATTTTAAATATATTTTCTTCATAGACAGAATCAATATAATAATTGTAAATGTATCAGTGAAAACATTTTTGCAGATATTCAGGCTACATATATACATATTAAATGGCATGCAAGAAAAATATATTTTACAAATCTTTAACAATGATGATTTATTGTATGAAAGGCAAACAAACGTTACTTCACTATGCTATAATGATATACAGAATATCACGTTTCAAAGATATATTGTTTTACACTAGATTTGTGCTTGTTTATCAGTGTATACATATAGTGATATAATGGTTCATAAACGTATAAGTATTCATAAACCTGTAGCGATTAATAAACACATGTTTATGCTTGGAATCATACTGTGGATTAAGGGTTGTCATAAGAAGCCTGCTTTATTATATTTGCAATATCAGGAAAGGGTAATATATAAATACATTTTTAGTGAATATGGTGAAAACATATAAAATTGCAACATCTTTTTACACAACACACACGCTCATTCAATTGCTCCTGGGGTACTATGACAATTGTCTTTTGGAGAAAGGTTTTTAATATAAGCATAATATTTTATCTATTAAATTCTAGGTTAAAATATGAAATGGCGATAAGAAGCGTGATTGCACTGGGAGGAGACGTTGACCTGTGACACCAAAGCCAATTGATTCCGTTTCCTTTGGTGACAAGAAATAACTACTTTTGAGTAGCAGGAAGTTACCCAGACCTGGTCTTGTAATCTAAGTGCCAAAGAGCAAAGGAACCGATGGAATAAATGGTTAGTCAAGTACTGATTGATTTGAGTACTGATTAAGGGTCTTCTGGCGCCTTCCAGTCTGACATAGTATTTGTTCTCCATCCATGTTCGATTAATTGCTGCATTTAGGAAGTTAAACGGGTATTTTAGATAAGAAGTGATGTTAGCGTGAACTGAATCCACCACTAGAGGGTATGGAAATTATTTATTATTGCGATTAGCATTATGACTCATTCCGTAAGACGTTAAACACTATTTCAGTAGGAGGAGCTCAAATTACAATTGAGCATATTTTGTCAGTTGTCTGAGAGAGGAGCAGGGATTTGGAGACTAACTCCGACCAGAGAACTTCTCTCTGTATATTGGAAGTCTAGACCAGAAAAAGTGAGAGAAAACACATCTGAGGACATATTGTTTGTAATATTCAAGACTTCCATCTACAATATATGGACTTAAGTGAGCTACATCATCCCTGGAACCAAGTGGAAAGACTATGTTGCTTTGGGAGAAGGTAATCACATTCCCGACATCTACGGTCACAGTACGATGACAACCAAAGTCACCGACATAGTCATCCATGCTGACACATTGTCACAGAAGTAGATATTTTACACAAAGTCATCGGTAGTTTACACAAAAGCATATATCTTAGGCCATGGTGACACAAAGATGGCCACACTACACATTGAAACCAGTCGATCATACTTTACATGGCTTACATATAAGTCACTCACATGTCCACATCAGGCATTCACTGTTGTCTTCCTTTGTGACATATCAGCTCCCTCCGATACAAGAATATGTTTCACAATAGACATGTGTCCTTTCTAACAAGCCAGCAAGTCATTATTGTATTATTGTCAGAAAGTGACAAATCAGCCCCCCTCCGAGACAAGAAGGTTATACACATCATTACACCACCTCGTATTGCCATCATGGCTGGTGCCTGCATGAAGGGGTGTCTTTTTCTACTATGTTTTCAGGGATAGGACATCTTTCTTCCAGACAGCACTGTCCTCTTAATCCGTGAGTGACAGGTCAGCCCCCTCTGAGACAAGAAGGTTATACACATCATAATGTCCCCTTTCTGCTGCCATCATGACTGGTGTCTGCATATCACTGCCTCCTTTTCGATTGATGTCAAATGTTTTGAGTGATAGCAGGTGTCTTACAATAGACATGTTTCCTCCCTTGCATGCCAACATCAGACAGTCACTGTTCTCTGCATCCGTGAGCGACAGGTCAGCCCCCTCTGATACAAGAAGGTAAAACACATCATAATGTCCCTTTTTCACTGCCATCATGACTGGTGTCCGCATATCGCTGCCTCCTTTTCTATTGATGTCAAATGTTTTCAGTGATAGCAGATGTTTCACAATAGACTTGTTTCCTTCCTTGCATGCCAACATCAGACAGTCACTGTTGTATTTGTCAGTAAGTGACAGATCAGCCCCCTCTGATACAAGAAGGTTATACACATCATAATGTCCCCCAGCTGCTGCCATCATGACTGGTGTCTTCATAGCACTGCCTCCTTTTCTATTGATGTCAAATGTTTTGAGTGATAGGAGATGTTTCACAATAGACATGTTTCCTTCCTGGCATGCCAACGTCAGACAGTCACTGTTGTATTTGTCAGTAAGTGACAGGTCAGCCCCCTCTGATACAAGAAGGTTATACACACCATAATGTCCTCCATCCACTGCCATCATGACTGGTGTCTGCATGAAGAAGCCTCTTTTTCTATTGATGTCAAATGTTTTCAGTGATAGCAGATGTTTCACAATAGACATGTTTCCTTCCTGGCATGCCAACGTCAGACAGTCACGGTTGAATGTGTCAGTAAGTGACAGGTCAGCCCCCTCTGATACAAGAAGGTTATACACACCATAATGTCCTCCATCCACTGCCATCATGACTGGTGTCTGCATGAAGAAGCCTCCTTTTCTATTGATGTCAAATGTTTTCAGTGATAGCAGATGTTTCAAAATAGACATGTTTCCTTTCTTGCATGCCAACGTCAGACAGTCACTGTTGTATTTGTCAGTAAGTGACAGGTCAGCCCCATGTGATACAAGAAGGTTATACAAATTATAATGTCCCTTTTCAACTGCCATCATGACTGGTGTCTGCATGAAGAAGCCTCCTTTTCTATTGATGTCAAATGTTTTGAGTGATAGGAGATGTTTCACAATAGACATGTTTCCTTCCTTGCATGCCAACATCAGACAGTCACTGTTGTCTTTATCAGTCAGTGACAGGTCAGCTCCCTCTGAGACAAGAAGGTTATACACATCATAATGTATCCAAGCTGCTGCAATCATGACTGGTGTCTGCATGAAGAAGCCTCCATTTCGATTGATGTCAAATGTTTTGGGTGATAGGAGATGTTTCACAATAGACATGTTTCCTCCCTGACATGCCAACACGAGACAGTCACTGTTGACTTCATCAGTAAGTGACAGGTCAGGCCCTTCTGATACAATAAGGTTATGCATATCATAATGTCCCTTTTTCACTGCCATCATGACTGGTGTCTGCATATCATTGCCTCCTTTTCGATTGATGTCAAATGTTTTGAGTGATAGCAGATGTTTCACAACAGACATGTTTCCTCCCTCACATGCCAACATCAGACAGTCACTGTTGTCGTCATCAGTTAGAGACAGGTCAGCCCCCTCTGATACAAGAAGGTTATACACATCATAATGTCCCCCAGCTGCTGCCATCATGACTGGTGTCTGCATGTCACTGCCTCCTTTTCGATTGATGTCAAATGTTTTGAGTGATAGGAGATGTTTCACAATAGACATGTTTCCTTCCTTGCATGCCAACATCAGACAGTCACTGTTGTATTTGTCAGTAAGTGACAGGTCAGCCCCCTCTGAGACAAGAAGGTTATACACATCATAATGTCCCACGGCTGCTGCCATCATGACTGGTGTCTGCATATCACTGCCTCCTTTTCGATTAATGTCAAATGTTTTGAGTGATAGGAGATGTTTCACAATAGACATGTTTCCTTCCTTGCATGCCAACATCAGACAGTCCCTGTTCTCTTCATCAGTAAGTGACAGGTCAGCCCCCTCTGAGACAAGAAGGTTATACACATCATAATTTCCCCAGTCTGCTGCCATCATGACTAGTGTCTGCATATCACTGCCTCTTTTTCGATTGATGTCCAATGTCTTGAGTGATAGGAGATGTTTCACAAAAGACATGTTTCCTTTCTTGCATGCCAACATCAGGCAGTCACTGTTGCCTTTATCAGTAAGTGACAGGTCAGCCCCCTCTGATACAAGAAGGTTATACACATCATAATGCCCAATTTGTGCTGCCATCATGACTGGTGTCATCATGAAGTAGCCTCCTTTTCGATTGATGTCAAATGTTTTGAGTGATAGGAGATGTTTCACAATAGACATGTTTCCTCCCTCAAATGCCAACATCAGACAGTCACTGTTGAATGTGTCAGTAAGTGACAGATCAGCCCCCTCTGATACAAGAAGGTTATACACATCATAATGTCCCCAGGCTGCTGCCATCATGACTGGTGTCTGCATGAAGAAGCCTCCTTTTTGATTGATGTCAAATCTTTTGAGTGATAGGAGATGTTTCACAATAGACATGTTTCTTCCCTCAAATGCCAACATCAGACAGTCACTGTTGTATTTGTCAGTAAGTGACAGGTCAGCCCCCTCTGAGACAAGAAGGTTATACACATCATAATGTCCCCAGGCTGCTGCCATCATGACTTGTGTCTGCATAGCACTGCCTCCTTTTCTATTGATGTCAAATGTTTTGAGTGATAGGAGATGTTTCACAATAGACATGTTTCCTCCCTGACATGCCAACATCAGACAGTCACTTCTGTATTTGTCAGTAAGTGACAGGTCAGCCCCCTCTGAGACAAGAAGGTTATACACATCATAATGTCCCCTTACTGCTGCCATCATGACTTGTGTCTCCATGAAGAAGCCTCCTTTTCGATTGATGTCAAATGTTTTGAGTGATAGGAGATGTTTCACAATAGACATGTTTCTTTCCTGGCATGCCAACATCAGACAGTCACTGTTGTATTTGTCAGTAAGTGACAGGTCAGCCCCCTCTGAGACAAGAAGGTTATACACATCATAATGTCCCCAGGCTGCTGCAATCATGACTGGTGTCTGCATAGCACTGCCTCCTTTTCTATTGCTGTCAAATGTTTTGAGTGATAGGAGATGTTTCACAAAAGACATGTTTCTTCCTTTGCATGCCAACATCAGACAGTCAGTGTTGTATTTGTCAGTAAGTGACAGATCAGCCCCCTCTGAGACAAGAAGGTTATACACAAAATAATGTCCCCTTTCTGCTGCCATCATGACTGGTGTCTGCATATCACTGCCTCCTTTTCGATTAATGTCAAATGTTTTGAGTGATAGGAGATGTTTCACAATAGACATGTTTCCTTCCTTGCATGCCAACATCAGACAGTCACTGTTCTCTTCATCAGTAAGTGACAGGTCAGCCCCCTCTGAGACAAGAAGGTTATACACATCATAATGTCCCCAGGCTGCTGCAATCATGACTGGTGTCTGCATGAAGACGCCTCCATTTCGATTGATGTCAAATGTTTTGAGTGATAGGAGATGTTTCACAATAGACATGTTTCCTCCCTCACATGCCAACATGAGGCAGTCACTGTTGTTTTTGTCAGTAAGTGACAGATCAGCCCCCTCTGAGACAAGAAGGTTATACACATCATAATGTCCCCCAGCTGCTGCCATCATGACTGGTGTCTGCATATCACTGCCTCCTATTCGATTGATGTCAAATGTTTTGAGTGATAGGAGATGTTTCACAATAGACATGTTTCCTCCCTCACATGCCAACATGAGGCAGTCACTGTTCTCTTTATCTGTGAGTGACAGGTCAGCCCCCTCTGAGACAAGACGTGTATACATATCATAATGTCCCCTTCCTGCTGCCATCATGACTGGTGTCTTCAACATTTGACCTTTACAGTTGATATTAAATCTTTTCAGTGACATCAAATATTTGACTGTAGATGCAGATCCAATTGCACATGCTAAATGGAGACAACAATTGCCATAGCTGTCGGTGATACAAATATCTGCCCCTCCCTTCACAAGGAGTTTTAAATCTTCATCTTCTCCTGACGAAATGCACAACATGGCTGGTGTACATCCGTCGTAGCCAGGCACATTTATCATATCTGGAACACGCTCTGCAATAACCCTGGTTATGTCTGTGCTTCCTGATTTACAAGAATGATGAAGACAGGTATAGCCTTTACTGTCAGCTAGTGTGATATCTGCTCCTTCCTCTAACAGGAACCGGAACACATCCAAATGGCCTGATTCTGCAGCAATCATGTGGAGGGATTTGTCTCCCTTTGTCATGTTCACATCAAATGCCTCACCACCGTTGAGCACTGTTATGATCTGTTTGAGATAACTGAGCCTACCATGTTGCACACAGGCCACTTTGCCAGAACGGAGATCAGTTATGGACCTATGTGAAAGTGCCATACCAATTTCCTTTTTTCCAAGCATTTCTAGTGATTGTTCAAACAAAGCATGATTATCTGACTGTGACACCCAATAAAAGAAACACTCTCCAAACTCTTTATCTGTCTGTTGAATTATCTGTGGCAAGTTATCAGAGAGATCGTTTGCAAAAGAACTGGATATGTCATTATTGAAAATAGGGTGTTTTAAAGTCCACTTGAAATATCCTTGTCGGATACCTTCCACCAGCCTCGTCAACACGAAGGGGTACAGACCAGGACTGAGGTGGATCAGGTTTGTGACATCATCAGTGAATCCTAGTTGTTGCTGGCCTCTCTTTTCCCGCTTTACTCTTTCGTATAGAAACTTCAACGAGCAATGTTTCAGCAACAAACTCGGATTGTAGTTTCCAAAGGCACAAGCTGTTGCATCATAAATTGATGGATGTGAGAAGAAAGCCATGTTTTTCTCCACTGTACAGTAGGTTCCAGTGAAATTGCCGATTTCGTTACCAATCTCTGTAGGAGTGCAAGATGGAACCACTTCCTTCACAACTTGAAACATATCTGTTTCTCCTTTACCAAGCTGGAACGAAACCAGGTCCAGTTTCCCATCACACAGAAGGAGAAGAATAAGAGCTGCAGACCTGCTGCTGCGTTCACGGACAATAGTGTCGAGGTGACCTCTCAAATATGTGACGGGATTCTGGAAAAAGTCTTGAGGCGATAGCACATGGAAGTCTGGGTTAGATGTGTATAGGCTACAGATCAGAGGATATCCAAACATTTTGGTCTGTCAATGAGCGATAGTCTTCACATCTTCCTTAGAGATATCACACATTGGGTATCTTCGCATGTGGGACCTGAGAATAGTCTCCTTTTCGTCATCTGTGAGACATTTCTTACTTAAATCAATGACAACATGCAGGTTAAAAAGGTTGACTTTGAACTGATGGAGTCTTGCACGTCCCTCATTCCAGTTGTAGGTTCGGGATGTGAAAAGGAAGCGGAGTTTGAATGTCTGTTGTGATTCCTTCTCACTTGGCTGTGATTTATCCTGGTCTGGTTCCATTTGTCTCCTACCCTGGTTGGATCTGGTCTTACATTCCTTCTCCAGAATGTCAATCTGTAAAGCTTCGTCAAGGGCACTGAACACTTTCTGTGTGTTTTCTAAATTAGTTGGAAATGTAACGGAGCCGAAAATGTCATCGAAGACAATATACATGTGATTGTGCCGTTTGATGATCACATTCACATCAAACTGTTCAATATGTTCTATGAACAATACCTCATAATGTTTCTTGAGATATTTCTTACAGAGCATCAGTGCAATGCTAGTTTTCCCGTCTCCTGGGGCTCCACAGATAGCAGCATGGCCATACCTTTCCAGTAGATCCTCTGCTGTCACTAGTTGGTGGATTTGGACAAAAGTCTTTTTCAGATTGTCTATTCTTGTGATGACACTTTCTGAAGTAGAAGAAAACATGATCCACATTAACAATGACACCTTTCTCCTCTCATTTTGGATTTATTCGCACGTTAAACAAGAGTCATCAGGAGACGACATTATCATCCCAGTCTGGGGCAATTCGGAGATGGAATTTGACTACCTACACCCCACTTTTTGTTCATTGCCTTTGAAAATGATGCTGTTTGGAGCCAAGTGGGCGCAAATGACCGACATCAGATCCGTACAGAGTGTCGGGGTGTCGGATTGCAGCTTTATGATTGGTCGATGTTTTAATTAGTTGGGGGAAACACTTAAACAGCAAGAACAGTAAACAAATAGAGAGCTGCTTTCTGACTGTGAAATGCCATGCCTAAGGGTTCAAACTTACGGTTTCCTACTGTGAAATGCCTTGTCTGAATGTTCAAAGTTACAGCTTACTACTGTGAAAGGCCGTGTCTGAGTGTTTAAAGTTAGTTTCCTAGTGTGAAAAGCCGTGTCTGAGGGTTCAAAGTTAGTTTCCTAGTGTGAAAGGCCTTGTCTGAATGTTCAAAGTTACAGCTTACTACTGTGAAAGGCCGTGTCTGAGGGGTCAAAGTTAGGTTCCTAGTGTGAAAGGCCGTGTCTGAGGGTTCAAAGTTACAGTTTCCTACTGTGAAAGGCCTTGTCTGAATGTTCAAAGTTACAGCAAACTACTGTGAAAGGTCTTGTCTGAGGGTTAAAAGTTACAGTTTACTACTGTGAAAGGCCGTGTCTGAGGGTTCAAAGTTACAGCTTACTACTGTGAAAGGCCGTGTCTGGGGGTTCAAAGTAAGTTACCTAGTGTGAAAGGTCGTGTCTGAGGGTTCAAAGTTACAGTTTACTACTGTGAAAGGCCGTGTCTGAGGGTTCAAAGTTACAGTTTCCTAGTGTGAAAGGCCGTGTCTGAATGTTCAAAGTTACAACTTACTACTGTGAAAGGCCGTGTCTGAGGGTTCGAAGTTACAGCTTACTACTGTGAAAGGCCGTGTCTGAGGGTTCAAAGTTAGTTTCCTACTGTGAAAGGCCGTGTCTCAGGGTTCAAAGTTACAGCTTACTACTGTGAAAGGCTGTGTCTGAGGGTTCAGAGTTACAGTTTCCTAGTGTGAAAGGCCGTGTCTGAGGGTTCAAAGTTACGGTTTCCTACTGTGAAAGGCCTTGTCTGAATGTTCAAAGTTACAGCTTACTACTGTGAAAGGTCTTGTCTGAGGGTTCAAAGTTACAGTTTGCTACTGTGAAAGGCCGTGTCTGAGGGTTTAAAGGTACAGCTTACTACTGTGAAAGGCCGTGTCTGGGGGTTCAAAGTTACAGCTTACTACTGTGAAAGGCCATGTCTCAGGGTTCAAAGTTACAGCTTACTACTGTGAAAGGCCGTGTCTGAGGGTTCAAAGTTACAGTTTCTTAGTGTGAAAGGCCGTGTCTGAGGGTTCAAAGTTACAGTTTTTTTAGTGTGAAAGTCAGTGTCTGAGGGATCAAAGTTACTGTTTCCTACTGTGAAAGGCCATGACTGAGGGTTCAACGTTACAGTTTACTACTGTGAAAGGCCATGTCTGAGGGGTCAAAGTTACAGCTTACTACTGTGAAAGGCCTTGTCTGAATGTTCAAAGTTACAGCTTACTACTGTGAAAGGCCGTGTCTGAGGGGTCAAAGTTACAGTTTCCTAGTGTGAAAGGCCGTGTCTGAGGGGTCAAAGTTACAGTTTCCTAGTGTGAAAGGCCATGTCTGAATGATCAACTTTACAGCTTACTACTGTGAAAGGCCGTGTCTGAGGGGTCAAAGTTACAGTTTCCTAGTGTGAAAGGCCAAGTCTGAATGATCAACGTTACAGCTTACTACTGTAAAAGGCCGTGTCTGAGGGGTCAAAGTTACAGTTTCCTACTGTGAAAGGCCTTGTCTAAGGGACCAAAATTATGATTTGATGGTATGAGATATTCTTGCCTTGTGTGAGGCATCCCCGATGTCCCTTCTCCCCAAGGCCAACATTAGAGGCGTTAGAGATGTTGGTCTGTGACACGGGGCACTGATCTGGAACAATGAGAAAGCATTACTAGAAACCTTTAGTCTTACATAAAATGAGATCAACGCTGATTATATACTAGTACTTTCTTTAAGAACTATTGGAAGAACTTTGATTGGCAACTCATGAGTTAGTGAATGAGTTACGGTTGATCGTCACATCGGCAATGTTTCAGCCTTATTTGGCAACAAATGAAGTAAAGTAAGATATTCAAATGTAACTCACAATAAAGATGTTGTGTTGTAGATGTTGATGTGGGTTGTCTCCCCTGTTCCAGCTCTCTATGTACTTCAGCTCTGATCTCAGGAGGATTCTGGCGATCATCGGCTTCAACAGGGGTGCGGTACAAAAGGTTTCCCATGGTCCTCGCTGACGACCGTCAAGGGGACATAACTCTGATACGATGATCACTGAAGGTAATATATGAAATAAACATATTTATTTCCATAAAGTTTAGGAATTGGCTTATCTGAATGCCTCTGCCATAGAGGGAGAAGGTAATATATGAATGTAGGGCTTTATCCGTTGTATCAGACATTTCTCACCTTGTGTCGGACTTCGTCAAAACACCATTAAATTAACAGCCCGAAATTTACAGAACATTTATTAAAAGGATGACACACACAATCCTGTTAATTCCACCCAGTGATTTTTCAAAGAGATTGAAGGATAGGATTCGGATATCATTTTTTTGTTTGAAAATATTCAACAAAGGATATGTGACGAAGGATGACTGTACATTGGTGAGGCGAGTATATCTGAGTAATATTCATTACTAATCTCACGGACCGCCGTCACATTGCTTGAATATTGCTGAGTGTGGCGTTAAACAAAAAAATATAAAAGTTAAAACTAATCTTACTTCAAACTGTAATGGGTGTAATAACAAGCGTCATCAGCAGAAGACAAATTCCCGCATCCCCAAAATCGAAAAAACCAAAATCAAATTACTGTTACTTTAAGTCATACTTGATGAGAGAATTTCTTTTTAATTTGTCTGTCCATATACAAGAGTAGTTTTTAACTTCAATTTTTTTTTAAACTTCTAAACAGCCAAAGACACCACTTCCGCCCTTGGTTAATACACATGCCAAGCTTGAATGAAAAATGTTTTTCAGTTCTGCTCCGTCAACGACACATGACACCGTCGTTTCAGGTAAATCAAGCTTGTTTCTATGGATAAAATCTTATTTTAAATCCCTAATTTGCGAAAGGCACCAGTTAACAACCTGGTCTTTGTGTGTGCAAATTTTTCTTGAAAGAATACCTATTTGTTTTAGAGATATGGTGCGGACAAACACACAACTATAAACACTATGAACACTAAAACTATGAGTCAATGTCAAACCTCTTGCCATGGAAACAGAAAAAAATATATAACATTAAAATGCCTTATTAGCAAAAGGCGCCACTTCAACTCATGATTAATACCAAAAATGTTGAATAGTATTTTAGTTCTGCCCTGAATACGAGTCTAAATTATTTCCAAGAAAACAAGGAAAAATCAAATTGTGAAAAAAACCTAAATAGCAAAAAGCACCTTTACAGCCCTTGATTAATACATGTACCAGGTTTGGATGAAAGGTCTTTCAACTCGTCAACAGAAAAACACACCAACAATTGGTGAAACGATCCTGATATGCTTGTCGGACGTGTCAGTATGAGATCAGGGAATTGGGAACGTGTTTCCACGTATGACATCTTTACATGAACGGCCGTAAAAGGTGTAAAGAAAGAAGTGATATAATTTATCCTGAAGGGGGCTTCAGTCTCTACAAGACAGGACACAATACTATCATTATACTATCACAGACAACAGCATCTCTTTTGATGCTTCGTCAAGGCTATCAATCACAACCATGGAAAACAAGTATAAATCACAAAGTGACGAAATGTCCCCCGCCCCGATATGTGTTTTTCAAATATTTTATTCCTTTGGAATAATATTATTTTTTGTGTTTCCTCCTCCATGGAACTATTTGTCTTACCATTAGAAATAATTACCCAAATTCCTGCAAATAAAATCGGCTCATGGCTGCTCATATAGAGACATGTCTGTCATACTTGCATAACAACATGACACAGAAAAAAAAGAAAGGCAGATATATCGAGGCAACACCCGTTTTCCAACTCCAAAAGCCAATATCATCAAACATGAAGGAATCCAGAAATTAGTTCTTGAGATATCGCAGCAACACTGTTTTCCATCTCGAATAACAGATTTCCCTGCTGTTACCTTAAAAATTAAGTTAAGATCACCAAAATCTACTTGTGTCTGCGGAGTCTTTATATACAACATAGTACCAAATATGAAGACAATCCAGCGATTAGTTCTTGAGATAGTGCGGCAACACCGTTTTCCAACTCCAAAAGCAGATTTGCCTGCTGTGACCTTGAAAATGGGGTCAAGGTCACCAAAACCGACTGGTGTCTGCGGGGGCAAAAAAAGGAAGAGATGAGTGAAATAAAGGTTCGGGACACTGTGCACAACAGTCATGACTTGCGGCAAGTTCATTTTCTAAGACCGAAGTGTCTACATACAAGAGAATCCACCCTCCAATCAGGAAATCGGACTGGGAAACCTTAACAATGAAAAAACAATAAACACTGATCTATTTAGTATATTCACGAACACAAGTAAAAGAGTGGGTACACATGTAGGTTATGAGCGTGTAAGGCCATGGTGGAGGTGACAGCTCGAGTTTTTTTCTTGGACTGCAGAGGTGGACTTGCAGCTGCTAAAGGAAAGATGGAGCACTCTCGCTGGACATAAGGAGAGGTAATCCATGCACAAGATAGAGGTGAGTGATGGGATTTTGAAACGCTGATCAAGGCTGTCCCGGAAGGTGGTTCTTTGCAAAATATTCCAGCAAAGGCCCAGAAAAACCTTCCTGTTCAAGGACCGTTCAAACTGCACCAAGTTGACATCCAGAGTGTGGATCTCACTAATACGTGCTGCAGTCACAAGACCTAGTAAAAAACGGTTTTGAAAGTGTTCAACATTTAAACTATAGCAGCAAGCTATTCGTAGTTAGCCAAAGATAAATGGCGATTATTAAAGATTCCAAGCAGGAGGCCCAAACCGGGATAACTTGTCCACCAATTAGTAGGACCGATTGAGAGATTGACATTTAGCAATGGTAGAATCGTTTGATCCCGTGGTAGTGGCAATGACAGTTGATAGCAGCGAGATACATGGCCAGAGTAGACTCCCTGAGCTTCCGTCTGTATCAGAGGTGTTGAAGATAATCAGTGATATGTTGTGGTGAAGCAGTAGTGGGAGAGGAAATGTCATGAGCCCGCCAATAAGACTGAAAAAACGTATTTGCAATGTCGTAAAGGCGTTTGGTTGAGTGGTGAGCCTCGGAAATTGTCTTTGCCACCCTATTGGGATAACCTTTCGTGACATGAGATTTCTGCAAATGTGTCAAACGCGATTGGACTGCCTCCGCGGTCTAGTGGTAGAGCGTCCGCCTGGACAACAGAAAGTCCAGGGTTCGATCCCCAGCCGTGTCATACCAAAAGACATTACAAGATAGTACTTGTTACCCTGTCTGGCGCTCGGGCGAAAACAAGGACTGGACGGCTCGGAGTCAGTATACTGTGTCTGAGTTGGCTATTCATGGTATCTCAGTGAGCTAGCAGTATAAATCGGCATCAGTCCGGACTTGTTCAAACAGCAACACACACAAGTGCATGCACGTCGCTATATAAGTGCAATAATCTTTGACATAACGTTAAACCCAATTTCACCCCTGCTCACCTCCAACGCAATGGCGCAATTGGAAGTAAGGCTGCAGAAGAAAACAACTCAAACTGAAAGGCATGGGGAACTAATTGCACGTTGAACAAACGGGCGCGACCAAAAGCAGATACCAAAACCTTTTGAAGGACCCTAGGAAGAATGTCGGTTGAGGTCCTACCAGGAGACCCTCAGGGCATCGTGGTCTCAAGCCATAGGATCGGGGATTGGAGACCATAACTGGGAGAGCTAAACATTGAATCTACTTGCAAACAGATCAACGTCTTAGACGTACAATTGGCAGATCCACCAAAAGATCGACGGGTGAAGAGACCATTCCATTGGGGACAGGGAGTCGGCTATCACACTGAGACACCGAGAAAGTAGAGTGCAGTAACTGGATGTTGAGGGAGTCGATCAACTGCAAGAAGTTGATAACGAGCGACAGGAGCGACATTGGCTTGGTTGATCCCATCTTGCTGATGTATCAAACTACCATGGATCATGAGGTGAGAGGAACAGAGGAACTCCGAACAATGAGATATTGCCAGTATCACAGCCTTGAACTCGAGGTTGTCCTTATGTAGGCAATGCTTGTCGTCTCACCAACGCCCTGCTACTTGTAGATCTTGAAAATGCGGCCCCCAGCTTCAAACATTCGTCTCTATTAGCCACAACTTGAGGTGCGGACGCCAATGGATTGATAGGGAGAATGGTGTCGAGTAATCTCCGCTCTGGATGAAGGGTGTGAGGAAACACTGGATCGACCAAGGTGAAGTTGGGTTCACAAAGTGAGGGCATGCGCCGACGTCAACAAGCGATTTGGTTGCCCAGATGGGTGTCGAAAAGATCAGCGATAAACCGTAATACAATGTTTTAAAAACTAAAAACTTGCTCATAAGCTTGTATTGTCAACAGCAAAATGAATTCCATTGATTGTAGATTTTAAAGGCGTTTCCCATTTCCGGTCATTGTGATATGAGTAATAATATAGCAAATATCTTTTAAAATTAGCAATATTGACCTACTGCATTCAGATACGGCTGACAAGTTTGAATTTGTATTTATTATTAATTTATTGCATTAATTGTAGATTTAACGGCGTTTTTTTCATATCTAGTTAAAGGGATATGAATACTAATATGGTAATATGGCAGCTGCAGTTAACCGAAATGTGTGTGTGTGTGTGTGTGTGTGTGTGTGTGTGTGTGTGTGTGTGTGTGTGTGTGTGTGTGTGTGTGTGTGTGTGTGTGTGTGTGTGTGTGTGTGTGTGTGTGTGTGCTTGTATTAGTCTCGCCTGATACCGATTTATAGTGCAAGCCCACTGAGATACCATGCCGCAGTTTCACATTAATATCCCCGTCAGACAGTATACTGACAAAATT